GAACTTCCTCCAATGACGAAGCTCTTCGAGACCACTCACCGGAAGAGGGACGGGAGCTTTGTCGACGCTCGGTCAGAGGAAATCTACAATGCCGCTATTCAGCGGATCGCCGAGCGGGAGACCCAGGCCACACCTGACGGTACTATCCAAGTACCTTTGACCGTCGCTGAGCAAGACCAGATTTTCGAGGAGGTATGATCTATTTCAAATTTTTTAAAATTTATTATATTTATTACTTAATAAATAATTAACGTTTTTATTTCCATTTGTAGGTTGCTCCGAAGAAGAAGGGCCGAACCTTAGGGATGGACTCTATTAGAGACTGTCCTGCCGCCTCGACTTCCGGATTTCGCACGCAGGAGGATCCGAGTCATCTTCGCCAGGAGTTTGCTACGGCCAATGCTGAGATCACCACTCTCAGGCATGAGCAAGTGGCCCAGAAGCAGGAGCTCACCGAGATTCACGATCTCTTCGACATCATTGCGGAAGCGGTTCCGCAGTTGGCCACCGCAATCCGAGCGAGGCAACAGCGAGCACGAGGCGTCTTTGAGGCCGGTGGTACTTCCGGTGGACCATCAAACCAGCAGACGCAGGGTCAGTCTTCGGCTCCGGTAGTGCAGATGGGAAACGACGGTCCAGCAGCGACGGGCGGCCAAGACGGAGAGCCTCCTCGTGACATTGATCTCAACCTCGACGATTACGAAATCACATTGTAGATTAGGTTTTTTTGTAAAAAACAATTTGTATTAAATTTTTTTTTATATATAAATTATTTTCGAATTTAAATTTTAATTTAAAATGTTTTTTTTCTATTTTTAATTTTTTGATTATTTTAAAAATTCATTAATTAAATTAAAATCGAATTAAATAATTAATTTATAAATCGACGTAAATTCGTCGTAAATTTACGTCGATCTAACGTCGAACATTTAACGACGAATTTACGTCGAATATGTTTACGTCGAATCTACGTCGAAACTTTACGACGAATTAACATCGATGAGTAAAAAATTAATTTCCCTTAATTGAAATTGTTCGTCTCCTAATCGTTGTTAAATCGATGTAATTTTACATCAATTTTACGTCGTTCTTATGATGGACTTATTTTGTTGTACTTTCGTTGGAAAATTTACGTCGAGTTTACTACGAATAATTTCCGACGATATTACGACGATTTTCCTGGGTTGGTAATTTTACGACGATTTTACGACGATTTCGGTTTTACGACGATTGTTTTACGACAATTTTTATTCGTTGTTAATTCGACGTAAATGCTCTTTTACGTCGATTTTACGTCGATATCTGCCGACGTAAAACCCGATCTTTCTTGTAGTCAAACCCGATCTTTCTTGTAGTGTTTTTTGGTTATGGGGAGGCACTATATATAGATTTTTATTTGGCTTACCATCGAATTAACAACGTTATTTAACAATGAATTAACGACGAAATGTAGTTTAGCGACAAATTAGAAACGAAAATGAGAATTGGGTGAAAACGTGTTTGACCGACCTATTATTTTGTCGTAACATCGTCGATGATTTCCGACGGAATATATTCGTCGTTAAATCGTCGCTATATTACGACGATTTAACGTCGACTACTATTATCGTCGCCATAACGTCGTTATTGCACGACGATTTAACATCTATTGTGTTTCGTCGCAAATTAACGACGATTTGGCGACGATTCTAAGAATCGTTGTGAAATCGTCATTAATTCGAAGGGAATTTACGACGATTCAAAATCGTCGTAAAAATTCGTTGTTAAGCTCCTACTTTCTTGTAGTGTAAGAGCCACTTCTATTTCAAAAAGTGGCTCTGTTTTTGCAAGTAGGCTTTCTAGTAGCCGCTTATTCGAGAGCTTGTCCTTCATCTCCAAATCATCTTTTTAATATCCCACATGTTCTGTAACACAATGAGATCCTTCCCTTCTTCTTTATCACCGCTTGACTTGTTCCCATTCTTCTTAGCCGCTTTCTTGGGTGTCTTTACACCAGACTGCCGACTGTTTGATACATCATCTCCTCCACTTTCTGGATGTGAGCTAAAATATTGTGATGACCCCTATTCAACCTTCCTTCTTTTCGAACTTGAACTACCTTTAAACATTAGACAATAAATTGTTGAGTAAATCTTATCCGGCTCTGTTCCAGTAAATATTTATAATAGTAAGACAACAATTTATGATTTATATATGAGTAATTACTAACTAAATTTAATTGAGTAAATCTTATTTTTTCTGGTTTCTTTTGAGATCCCTCACTTTATTTTTTTTTCATTTTTTTTTTGCTTTTTTATATCTTTTTACAATAACTATTAAATTTTTACAGCAAAAGTTTTTAAAGCAAAAATCTACAGTAAATACCGAAAGTAACAGTTCTTACCAAGCAACACCATATTTCTCACATTTTTTTCCTTATATGTGTACTGTATCATGGTACAGAGAATAGTATAAATAAGGGTAAAATATAACAAGGAAAATATAGTAAAAAAGTGATAGGACTATATGCGCAAAAATATATCTTTTAAAAATTCTATTATTTGCTATTAGTTTTCAAAAATACCACATGACACATTTAAAAAAATATATATGATGTTTTTGCAAAATATGCACTTTTTATAATGTTTGTTAAGTTTTCTAACACTTAGAAAATATTAAATTTTTTGGCACTTTGAATACTTTACACACGCATTTTTTCTAATTTTATGGTATGATAATCATGCATTATGTACAATACATAGACAATCAGGAGAAAGATAAAATTATCATTTTATTCATATAATGATAAAAAACAGAATGTGACAAAAAACTCAAATAAGTTAAAAAAAAGTATCTATATTTACTATTAAGTCTTAAAATATTTAGGAATCATAGTACCAAATATCACTTATTTCTAGTTTCTTTAGTATTATGGCACTTAAATTTTACTCCTTCAATTTTAACAACTTTTGTTTATAAAAAAGACCATTTTATCTCTTTTTTTACTTCAGTGTGTACCACATACAAATGGTCTTGTAGCACTGTAGCAGAGGTAAACTCAGCAAAAATAGATGTGTACAGTAGCTAAAGTATTAGAGCATCTCCACCTCTTATATCCATTAGGGGTTCTTAAACATATTTTAATAATAGATTTGTCAAATAAAAAAAGTTAAGGATTAATCCTTTTTTCTCCTCCATTCCTCATACCATTAAGAGATTTTTAGAAGCTCATATTTAGAAGCCCAAGACTTTTTCAACACATATTTTAGGCCGATTTTTAGAAGCCCACTTACTTTGGGGCGATTTTTACTTTGGGCCAATATTTACTTTGGGTCTGTTTTGGTCCGATTTGTAATCTCTTTCGTAAACCAATGGACATCCAACACCTGTATAAAACTCCTTATATTATTTAATCTAAGTAATTATTGATCTGATCATAACTATAAACATACAAAATTTAATAAAACCAAATTTATATTGCATTACATAAAATTTTAAACATACAAAATGCAAGTATTGAAATCATAAAACGTTTAGTTGTAATCTTGAGAGGTGCCAAATTTCTGCCATATATGCTTAATTAAATCAGCTTTCAAGTGTTCATGTATTTGTCTGTCACGAATTTGATTCCAGGTGCCGATCATATTGCCAAGATTTGTAGGCATATCCGTGGAATATGTCATATCCACTTGTGAAGTTCTGTTTCCTTCTTCTTGTTGGAATCCAGATACATACTCTCATAATATTTCCTATTTTTTATTTATCCCATATAAGAGCTGGATTTTTTTTTTACTATTGCAAATCGAGCTTGAAAGACTCCAAAAGCACGCTCAACATCTTTTCTGGTGGATTCTTGACATGTTGCAAATAATCTTGCTTTCGGCCCCTTAGGAAGAGGAATAAATTGTATAAAAGTTGCCCATTTTAGATAAATACCGTCTGTGAGGTAGTACGCCATATGATACTGGTGTCCGTTGACCAAGTAATTCACTTTTGGAGCTCGTCCTTGTAATATATCACCAAAAACGGGTGACCGATCAAAAACATTGATATCGTTTAAGGTACCTGGAGGTCCAAAAAACGTGTGCCATATCTAAAGATCTTGTGACGCTACAGCCTCTTGATGATTGTCGGTTTTCCTGATCTACGTATATATTGCCTTTTCCAAGGGGTAATGCAATTCTTCCACTTCCAGTGCATACAATCGATGTTTCCTATCATTCCCGGAAATCCTTGTATCTCTCCAATATCGAGTAGTCACTGAAGATCTTCTGGTGTCGGTCTTCTTAAGTACTCTTCTCCGAACAAATGTATTATTCCCTCTACGAATTTCTCCAAGCATTTAATTGCAGTACTTTCACCGAGCCAGAGGTATTTGTCAGCCGCATCAGCCGCATCAACCGCACAACCATAGGCCATCATACGAATTGCTGATGTACACTTTTGTAATCCAGAGAGACTAATCCTTCCGACAGCATCTCTCCTTTGTTGAAAGTATGGAACTTTTTGGGAGACTCGATCAACAATACGCATGAACAAGGATCTGTTTATTGTAAAACGACGTTGAAATATATGAGGAGGGTATGTAGCATTTCACTAAAATAATCGTTCTATAAGCGGTTATGGCCTTCTTCACGTTGTCTGTCTATATATTCTTCTTTTGCTTTCTTGCGGCTTGCCGATCAAGAACAGCATCGAACATATTGTCAAGATGTTGATCAATAACTTCATCAAAATCGTCGTCAAGCGATCCATCATCAAAATTGTTGTTTGAAGAAGATGCCATACTTGTAGAGTTTGTTTTAAAAAAACAAAAGATGATTTGTGGGAACTTTTTTCACACTTGTGAACTTTGATTACAAAAAAACCCAATTGTGGGAACTTTGTTTACACTTGTGAACTTTGTCTAAAAAAAACAAAATAAGAATAGAAAAGTTTAAGTATAAGAAGAGAAAGTTTGTTTAGAACACAAGAGTTTGCTTTGTGGGAACTTTGAGAACACAAAGAGTTTGAGTTTGATAGAATTAGAAATCGATTGGTTTACATTTATATAAGAATAGAAAGTTTTTACAAAATAATACGTGGTTCAGTTATGTTACACATGTGTGGTTTACATTAACTTCACAAATATGTGGGTTGCCATACTACAAAACAAAAGCAATATGGACCCATACTTGATCTTGTCCTCTTTTTACTTGACCCGTGATCATCAATATTTGGCACTTCCTCTTTTTACTTGACCCGTGATCTGTATTGGCAGCCACTTCTTCTCCAAGTTGTCCTTTTACAGAATCCTACAAACATACATGAAACGATGAGCAACATATTACAATAATTCAAAGGAGTTCAAACAAAAACACGAACGACACATAAAAACAGATAGGAATCTTACAATAATTCATACTTAAGAAGTTACACATACCATGAGCTACACGAAAAACACATAAAAAAACAGGAGTTCACACAAAAACACATAAAAACATACAACACCTACTTAAGACAACATTTCAGTAATTAAATTGTTCTTAAGAGCCACTTCTATTTCAAAAAGTGGCTCTGGTTTTGCAAGTAGGCTTTCTAGTAGCCGCTTATCCGAGAGCTTGTCCTTCATCTCCAAATCGTTTTTTTAATATCACACATGTTCTGTAACACAATGAGATCCTTCCCTTCTTCTTTATCACCGCCTGACTTGTTCCCATTCTTCTTAGCCGCTTTCTTGGGTGTCTTTACACCAGACGGCCGACTGTTTGATACATCATCTCCTCCACTTTCTGGATGTGAGCTAAAATATTGTGATTACCCCTATTCAACCTTCCTTCTTTTCGAACTTGAACTACCTTTAACCTTAGAAGCCGATCACCAATTCTGTTCATGCCTTAATTAACTCACGCCATGCATGATCTAGCGTGAACTTGATGTTATAATCGTTCAGAAATATGCCATGTGCTGCTTTCATCACGTCATCCTCGTTTTGGCCGCGTGCATGGTATTTCAGAGCAGCCTCGTAGCATCCCACGAATTTGCATATGTGGTCATTGATCCTACCCCACCTCTGCTTAACATGACTAAGATCTCTGTTTTGCATTCCTGCAAGCTGCGGACTAACGTTGAAGTAATCTTGAATCCTCTTCCAAAAAGCTATTCCCTATCACCGGATCCTTGGAGGTGTTAAGCCAAGCACTGATCAAAACCACATCCTCGGTGACCATTGCCTTCTTACCCTGCGCTTCTTTGTATCTTCGGTGACCGTTGGATCATCCGAAGTTTGGCTACTTAAGAGAGGCAGTTCTGATGATCCAAGGTCTACACATGGCGAGTAACTCTCATTAACTAGTTGACTAGTTAAGAGGTTAACAAAGCTATGCGAGTTACTATAGGGATCTGTAGAATCCATTTCCTAGTTTAGTGTTTAGTGTTTTAGAAGTTTTAATGTTTAGCAGTTTTAGTGTTTCACGACTTAAAGTTTTAGTGTTTACAAGAAAGAAGTTTCAGAACATAGAAGGGTTTGTGTTTTTGTTTAAGTGGTTTTACCGATTCTGATTATGTTTTAAATAGCAGACTGAGTTTAGTGTTTTTTACCAAGCAAGCATTCATGATCAACAAGACCTTTACCTAACAAAGCTACAAGCATTGATCATTTCTTAAGTCTAACAAAGCATTTATCACAAAGCTAACAACAGCATTTATCACAAAGCTAACCAGTATCTATCACAAATCTTATCTAACAAAACATAATCAACTACAAACTACAGTTGCTAACAGGATTAAGCAAATGAGTTACCTTGCGATTGAGCTGAAAAGGATTCGGTGGGGACTTGAAGAGCAGCTGTAAAGTGGTCCTCCATTTAACCTCACAAAAACAAAGTCAAGTTAAAATAATCTAAATAAGACTAATAACAAGCATTTATCACAACAAGACCTTTAACTCTTTCACCTAACAAACTACTAACAAGCATTTATCACAAACAAGTCTTTTGGCAATCAAACTGATAGTTAACCGATTACGAGTATAAGCAACAAGACTTTTAACTCTTTCACCTAACAAACTAGTGAACAAACACTTAACCGATTACAAGTATAAGCAGAAAGAGGTCGTAGAGGATATCCAAAACAAGAACAAAAACCAAACAACATGCTCCATCTTAAACAACATAGGTGATTCTACATGAACCCACTGAGTAATCAGGTACAAGAAAAATTCACACTGATATATCACAGATAATGAAGTTGAGAAATAAACTCAAAACTGACCAAATTCAAGCAAGTGCGAGGCATTTTTAACTACAGAGGAACTCAGACAACCAAAATTGTTAACCAGATAAAGCCAATTAAAAAAAAACACTATGCGGATACTCGAGGGTCCAATTTTTGAATATAAACCCTAAAGCACCGAGAATGCAAAATTCACAAAAAGAAACTCGGAAATTTCAGATTTAAACCTTATGCAGATACTGGATTCATCTCCAATTCGCAATTTAAACTCAAAAATTCACAAAAAACCTTAAAACTCGTTACCTTCGATTAATGCTCTGACGATTTAGTGATCCATCACTGATCGATTTGCTCCTCCATCGGCCATGCTGCTCCATCGATTTTCTCCTCCATCACCGATCGATTAGCTGCTCCGACACCGTTCAATTATTGACTCTCCAAATCGTCGACCTTTTTCATCTCCCTCTCATCGACCCTTCTGTTTTCCTTCGACGAAGAATGGACCAATTTCACGGACAAAGAAGTTGGGCTATTTTCGCAAATAGGCCATAATCGATTTTTAGCCCAAAGACAAAAAATCACTCCACCAATCCAAGCGTGACACGTTTTTAAATACTCCCGTTATATGAGGTTCTTCCACAACATCCTAACAACCCGCGTTGTCAAGTTTTTAAGCTTTTCTTAATTATTTTTATTACCTAAATTAGCTTACAACCTCTTAACAGCGATGGAGATGGTCACCCTAATAACACTTTTCAAAAGTGTAGAAATACTTATCAATTATTATATATATATTGTCTGTTATTACCAGGTCAAATCATGAAGGCATGAACAACTCGATGATCTGATTCTGCCCTTTGATTTTGTTTTAATTAGCAAATTAGATTTTGTTTTTTTTTTCAAATGAATCCATTTTCCTTGAAATTTCCTTAGATTTAAGCGATTTTTTTCTCCACTGAATTTTGTTTTTGTTTTTAATTGAATCCATCTTCCTTGAAATTTCTTAAATTTTTTTTTTTTTTTTGATTTGAGCAATGTACCATTTTTCCATAATAAGTGCTTATTGAACAGGTTTTGCTTCTATTTTGTGTTTTTCTTCTCTTTTCATCATAATAATTTTTTTCTGTTTTTTCTTCTTATTCTATATTCTTCTGTTTGGTTTCTCCAGTGAGATCTGACAACGTCTAAAGCTCTACAGAGATTGAAATCCTTAATTGATCCATCTGACTCGATTTCATGGCGAGAAATAGATCTTTGCAGCTGGGTAGGGGTCACAGAAAATGGAAGACTCTCGAAGCTTGTTCTCGAGATTTGAATCTGACTGGCTCACCCGACGAGAAAAGCTTGAACCAATTAGACCAAGGGTTCCTAGTTTCAAAGCTAACATTCTCTCTGACTCAATCCCTAATATTTGGACACTTTGTTGTATCTATATAAACAATAATTGATAGGTATATGTATATCTATTTTTCTAGCTCAGTTGGTAGATGCGTGAGTCGTTGAACTTTGTGGTAGATGGAGGTTTTTTAAAACTAAAACTTATCAAAACGACATAGTTTAAATTTATAGTGTCATCTTAGATTTCAAGTACCAACTCATATTTTCTGTTAACACTTTAACGGAGATGACTAACAAAAATCAAGTTAAAGCATGTTTCGGCAAAAAAAATATGATCATGCACTGATATTCAAATTTATAAATGTTCGGTACATATTAGCACATTAAAAATTGTCAGGGTACTAATCAGTACCAGTTATCTTTGTTGAGGCACTAATTAGCCGTTTTCCCGTGAAGATGGTGGCTACACCTAAGGACTGACCAATTTTGCATTACATCTCGAAGAATTCGTGAAAAACAAATAAGTGTTTTTTTCCCTATCTCATTCATCTCACACACAACCAACACAAATGTACAAAAATTAGCACATAGTAGTGTTCATTTCTACCCATTAAAGATTATTTATGCAAACTCCATACAGTTTGAATTTCCAAACTATTCTAGGTACTTATGTTGTGATAATAAAAAAATTGCAATTGGTTAAAAGACAAATCATATGTCTGACATTTTGTATATAAGTAATAGATGCCGATTACAGTGTGGAAAATAATATATATTTATCTTAATTTACAAAAATATTAAATAATAAGAATTTGTTTAGGATGCTGATATCTTTGGTTATTAAGTTTTTGTCTTGAATTATTGCATATAGGTATAAATTTATTTTTCACTATCTAAATGAAAATTTTGATTTCGCTTACTCTTGTATCTTTTAGTTTTTTTTACGTTTATATTTTTGTTATCAAATATAAAATTAACCACAAAACATTTCAACTTTTACTTTATGATATATATTTTATCCCATGTTCAAAATATCGGTAGGCAATAGTTGGGCGCTTGAAGTGCGCTTAGCGATTAACGAGAAAATTAAGGATTAATCAATGATTTATTTTAATTTTTTGGTTTTATGAAAATATATGGTCATAAAAATGTTATGCATAAGATAACAACTGATCTAACTTAGTGCAGGCGGTTAAAATGCCTAGTTTGTATGCGAGAAATCTAAGTTTGAAGCCTTTTTTAAACAAAGGGTAAAAGTAATTTCATCAATATCTTTTCTTTCTGCGATTTTCTGCAACTTTAGAATAGCGGCCACCATTGAATTTCTTCGATTTTGCTTAGTTTTTTTATTCTTTTATACAATACTTTTGTATATCCAACATATTTCAATCGTTTCGACCATAATAAAAATACGAGTTTTAATATTGTCACTGATTTTTCTTCTGATAATAGCTTATTCACGGTAGTTTTCGGCCACTGAACGGTTAAACGCCGCCTAGTCAGTTCAGAGACCGCTTTTTTGAACATGGATTTTACCACATATATAATAAAAAAAAGTTTTTAGTAAATTTAAAAATAATATGGTGAATATCAATAGATTTAATTTATGTTGAAACAAAAATTTGTATAATTATTGTTTTTGATTTTTGTTTTATATTGGATAAAATTATTTACTCATTATCTTAATTATCCAAGCAAAATCAACATCGTGGTTATTTTTTTTTTTTGCTATTTTGCTTTTAATTTGTTTAGCTTTTTTCTAATTTATTTTGGATTTGGCAAATTATTTTATTTTATTTTTATGAATTTTTTTCAATGAATTTGGGAAGACAAAAACTTTGGTTCAATTGAGCTTTTTCGAAGAGGTAATTGACAGTAAAAACGGCTGATGGCAACAGTTATGTTGATAGATTTCTAGTCGCAAACCACGTCTACTCCCGAAGGCAATTTGAATATGGACTCCTAGCTAATTGATTTTTTGGAACATTGATTTTGAAAGACTCCTATTAGAGCCATAAAATGAGATTGATAGTTGTGGTCAATTTAGTCTGAAGTGGATAAATGTTTTTCGATTTGTATGAAGATCATCTTAGTGAATATTTAATTAGTCCAAAAGCAAAAGTGAAGTATTCAACTGTAAAATTTTTAGTCATACATTTGCAAAAAGAATGTTGTTATTTATCTTCGATGCTGTTATTTATCTCGATCTCTATTGATGAAACTTTTTTTAGATGTTGTAAATCTTTTATATTTTTAATATTTTGATTTTTGTAATAAAGTATTATTTAACGTAAAAAAAAACGTTAAGGTGGAAGGAGAAAAAAGTCTCCTTAAATTTTAAAGCAATATATTAAAATGGATTAAAACTATTGATTCATTTTCGATTTAACTATTTGGTTTAGTTCGGTTCAATCTTTTCCCACTTACAGTAAAAATTCTATAAATTAATAATATTAGGATTTTAGTATTTTATTAATTTATAGAATTATTAATTTATAAATTTTCAAGAAAAATATTTTTAAAGAGATTTTTAAAAGATTTTACTATTTAAAATATTTTTTCTAAAATTAAAGATGAGTTACAAAAAATTTTAAATTTAAAAAAAATAAAAAATATCACTAAACTTATATTTTAATAAATTATCTCACTTCTTATATTAGATTTTATTTATGGTAATTATTAATTTATGATATTAATGAGATCATATATTTACATAAAAGTTTTGTTAAAATTATTATCTTATTATCTTATCGATTTGTATTAAATTGAACCGGTATAACTTAGAACCAGAAAAATTTATTAATTTGTAGAGTTTATTAATTTGTAGAGTTTATTAATTTATCGAGTATTAATTTATAGAGTTTATACTACTATAATTAGCTGGCCAGCAACGCTGCAGTGGGTAGATCAAGATTGGGATTATGCTGATGTCTTATTGGTCCACGTTGGTATTCTTCCTCCAATCAAAATTAAGATGAAAGAACAAAATTATATATCGTCCGTCAACTTAACCATAGCTAAAACTAATTTAACCGTGATTAGCTTAACCCTAGGGTTTAGATTTCCACCATCTTCATGTCTTATATATACATGGGAATCCTTCTTAGCAATCGCAGCCCCCAATAGTTATCATTTTTTTTCTCTTGCTGCCTATTTTGTTTATCCTTAAATTCCTTCTAATGACTTTTTTAATCGGCACCGGTTGTTGTGTTAATTATTTTTTTATTTGTTGCAAATGATGAGTTAATCGCAACTGATAAAAGAAGCTCAGTTTCTTGAGCTGTGTTGGAAATCATAAACTTCCATGACTCTGATGCAACTGATATTAAAGAAATCTCAGATTCTTGAATGATCTGTTCTTTTTTTGTTTTCTGTTCTCAGATTTTTGTAAATGATCGGTGAATTTCTACAGATCAACGAGTCTATGAAGTCTCTGTTTTCAAATTTCTTTGTTATACATTTTCTTCAATTTCAGTGACTCTTAATTTAAGTGATCCGTTTTAGAGATCTGTCTTTTTGGTTAACCCGAACATCTATTGATGATTTTGTTCTTATCAGAATTATCAGAATTGTTTTAGTTTGGATATTTAACAAAAAAAAAGAATTGGGTAACGATTTCATTAAAATAGCCTAAAATGCCTATTATACAACTTAGCGGTAACAAGATTGAAATAATAAGGAAACAAAGATGGGTTGATATAGTCTTGAAATATGCTCCAAGACGATAAGGAAACAAAGATGGGTTGATATAGTCTTGATAATGGATCTTTAATTTAAATCGATTTGAGATGGGTGCATAGAAAAATATTCATTCTGATACTCAACTTCTCTATAAAAATCCAGTAGGAGTCTTGGTGCAAAGGAAAAAGAAAAAAAAAACATAGCAAACAAACTTTTTTTTTAAATTAGAAAGTTAAAATGTTGTTTTCATTACAATTCTCAATAACTAAACAAAACTTAAACCAACTTTGTTTTTGTGTTCAAAGAATCCATGTTACGACGCATCATTATCGTTGTCCCCATCGAAATATTCATCGTCTCTTTGAATCTGCTTATCCCGAGAACGCTCTGCAATGATCAAAATCATTTTCAAAATATGACTTCAATCGAAAAATGAAGAAACACTTCGGATTCTGTTCAATACTTACGGTCCACACGTTCATCTGGATTTTGTTCATCTTCATCAAAATCCGGTATGTAGAAATCCGGTGGAACCTGCGGATGTAGATCAAGACAATCAACTCAAAGACTAAAACTTTAAAAATCATTCGACGATGCTCGATAATGATCCTGAGTTTTTACCTCCTGCATTTGCACGCTTGGAGCGTGTTGAATGTACCGCAAATTCTCCAAAATCTGTACTTTGATCGAACTGATATACGATTTGGTATTCATATTCTCCTATTTTAAGTTCAAAACATAAATGATTCTCAACGTCTATACATTTTGTTAAAAACCAGAAAGGAACTATGCATATACGTTATGTTCAAAGAGCTTCTTACAATGTGACCACCAGGAATCTTCAATGAAAAATCCGGCGCAAAATACTTAATGTAGTCGTTTTCAGGAATCTCTGCAAAACAATCAAAACTCTTAAAAGAGCCTGAAACATTAAATTTTTCTTCTAACAAAACATTACTAACCATTAGGAAGTTCTGTGTCCAAAAGAATGCCAGTTTCAACGGTCCAACACCGAGCTACATTCTCCTTTGTGTATCCTCCACCTCCAGTAACCTAATATAACAACCGAAAGAAACTAACTTCCTCGTCAAGGAACTTAAAAAAATGGATAGAAGATGTAAGTCAAGAGACAGAGAAATAGCTTACCAGCAAGGGAAGGTTGAATTTCTTCACAAATTTAACACATTCAGCATGTCCTGGTTAGAGAAAAGAGTTTCAGAACTCGAGTTGCTTAGAAACTAGGGAAAAGAGAGATTGAGAGAAGAGAAAGAGATTTTGATTACAAGAAGAAAAAGCACCATCAATAGAGAGATTAAAGCATCCTAGTCGATCCCTTGCAAGTGAATCTGCTCCACACTGAAGAACAATTGCTCCTGGTTGATATATCTCAACAACCTTGGAAATTATCTAAAACAAAGAGAAAAAAAAAGATCAAAAACATCGAAAGCATTTGAGAATTTGATAGTTTCGTTTAAAGAACTTACTGTCCTGAACAAACGGTTGAAACTACTGTCATCAATACCATCCTTCAATGGCACATTTATGGCGTAATACTTCCCTTCTCTTTCTCCTATTTCCTATCACATCACAATGTCAATTCATCAAAACACATCAAGACATCCTCACACAATCAAGAAATGAGTTTTGAATATTACCTTAACATCCCCGGTCCCTGGAAAGAACTTATCTCCAAACTTATGAAAGCTAACAGTCATCACTCTGCAGTAACAAAATTCAAAGATATTGGTATCAGTTTCTACAAAAGCACAACTTTCAAGACGTTGTTTTTGGACTATCTAAGGGTACCTGTCAGTAAAGTAAAAAGCTTCTTCAACTCCATCACCATGATGAACATCTATATCTATGTATAGCACACGGGGATGGTGTTTCAACAGCTCAAGAATTCCTAGTACGAGATCGTTGATGTAACAAAACCCAGATGCATCACACTTTTTGGCATGGTGCAACCCACCAGCCCAATTTATAGAAATGTCACAGAGTTTGTTGTTTAATCTGCGTGCAGCATCTATAGAAAAACATTGGTCAGCAACTAAAGCTCTAATGTGACAACCAAAACATATATATATATACTGAGTGTATTACGATACCTATGGTTCCACCGGCATAGATTTGACAAAATTCAAACATATCCTCAAAGACAGGACAATCCTCTCCTAGATTATCTGCATCAAAGTAATTTCAATTCGGCTAAACATATATATTTTTGAAAACCAATCAATGAAGACACAATAACTTACATCTAGCCATTTCATTGGGAAACAAATTCTGATTTTCGGGGTTTATTCGTTGCAGGAACTCCACATAGTCCGGAGAATGGAATTGAGCCATCTCGATAGGATATGCCTTGTGTGGACGCTGAGACAATAGAGAGGATATAAAGAGTTAGAATGTGATGTACAGTGAGATAGTAAAGAAAAGATTTAAAAAGATCAAGAACAAGAAACATGAAAGATGAGTAAGAGACACTGACATAAACTTCCATCTTGCTATGCAGGCCATATGCAAGGATAAGATGATGTGTCATACAAAGCCTGTGAGGTTTCATTGGGTGATTCGGACCAAAATAGACGCTCCCCACGTCCCCTGCAACACAGCAAAACCCATCAGAAAATCATCACAAAACCAATATAAACTACCACAGAAATTCAAAATCACGCAGAATACGAAAAGAGATGTTATATATATATCAAGTCAATTTCTCAGAAAGGAACCTTAAGGAACACAAATTTCAAACACTATATGTAATGATTACACATGAAATACAGATAAAGTTGACAAGAATTTAATTTCAAGAAGTCAGACACAATCCAAGAAGTCAATTTCACAGGCACTAGACTAGTCTTTCAGCACTTGCAAGCTTCTGGTTTGAGCTCAAACTAGAGATAAAGCTACAAAAAGTCAGAAACTTTACCTAAAGACCCTTCTCCTTTTCAACAAAAACCCTACTCAAAACTATAAATCAAGCTAGGAATGTCCAAGTTAATCACAACCCATAACTTATTATAGAAATCAGAAGCGAAACATTCCACCTTTAGTCGCCAAATTGCAGTTCAAGGGGCTAAAGTTGCTCGAGAGTTACAAGTGAAAAATTAGATGGATAAAAACATCAATCTCAAGAATTTTTTTGGTGTATTTGATAAAGAATAGAAAACTTAAAAGGCAGAGAAGAATATACCATCATAAAAGTAGGAGATTTTGTCCTTGGAGCGCATCTCTTAAAGAAAACAAGACACGGAGATCGCAACGAAATCAATCTGTAAGAACGATTAGACAGGAGAAATTTCAGCTATGAGTTTCGTAGATTCAGTAGACATGAGACGAGTTTTCCATTGTTGAAGTCGCAGAGAAGAGAAAGGAGAGGAGAAGAGAAGCCAAGGGAAAAGAAGAGAGAGAGAGCACAAGGGGAGACTCCAAAATCAAACGGCAACGTTTAAGGGTTGTGAGACATGGCAGATGACGTCATTTAGATGTAATTTAAAACCGATTGGCTTACTGATTTTAAAACCAGACCGGTAGCTTTCCATCATTTCATTTCAACCGAATCGAATCAAAACTTAACCCACATTAAAAAAATTACTCAAGATTCTGGGAAAACTGCACAAAAAACTCAGAAGTTTCAGATTCTACCTAAAAAATCCCAAAAAAATTAAGGTGGGTTTAAAAAGTGAAAATTTCGTATAATACAATTTAAATCCCAATCGTAGATCAAAACATTTTATCAAGGCACACTCTCTCTCTCTCTGAGAGAGCAAATGTTTCTCTTTTGCTCTCTAATCTCTTCCGACTAGTTACTTTTTGTTATCTATATTGCATATAATAGAATTAATAAAGTTTTCGTTTTAACGGATTTTCCATTCCAATCACCAGTTTTTCTTTTGCTACTCTAATTTATGAATCCTTTGCTTGTGAAGTAAAATTTCCATTAATCAAAGTAGAGTGGAAAGTTTTTTTCCTGCTAAAAGAATTGTCTGGGTTGGTTTTGTCAATCAAGCAAAAGAATATATGTTTATCGGATTCTCTTTCCAACTAAAGTCCGGATTCCTTTTCGATCTCTTCCCCGACTGTGTTATCCTCTTCTCAGAATCACCGTTTTTATTTTAAGTTTTATTTCAGGTTTCTTATCTTGCTTAGAGTAACATCTTCATTGTTTTTCTCTTGCTTGATTTGGAGTAATGGCAGACATAGTTTTGATCAATAGAGTAGATCTGACGGCGACGATGGATAAAACTTAGAAGTTGTCTTAATTTCATCATGAATTGTTCATTCTGACAAATATATTTCAGGAACTGAAGATCGGCAAAAATAGTGCAGAGGTACGAAATTACAACGGAAATCGGAGAGTCCCCAGAGTAGCTGACATGATGGCGATTGTAGAAGATAGACACGTGGTATAACCTGGGGATGAATCATGGGACACGTTTAATCATCTATTTTCCACTTATCTCTTCACTATCATTGTGAGAGGCCCAATATTGGCCAGTTTAATTTCAGCCTTTTGGGTTTAATCAATATAATCCATATCGACAAAAAAAAATCCTCTTGCTCGATTCTCTCACAAAAAAAATCAATAGAAAAAAATTTATGTCTCCTCTCTCACACCTATTTTTCAGAGAGAGAAAGAGAGAGGCAATTTCTGATTTTTTTTCTGAAATCGGAATCTTTACCGAAGTTTTTTGGTTTTGATTATATACATTTTGATTTTGATCGAATTTTCTTTTTCTGTTTTTCGGATAATAATATTCTGGCTAAGTTTGGGTTTCTCCTTTTGCAATCTCTTTGTCGGCCATGCTTTCTCCGATTCAGCGATTTTCTTTTAAGTTTTGTTGCAGATTTTCTTCTGGCTTGGAGTAATATCTTTGTTGTTTTCCTCTTGCTCGATTCTTAGAACAACCATGAACATTGCTTAGATTAATAAATTGGATCTGATCAGCGACAAATCTTCCTTGAAGATGGAGATCTAGAATCAAATCTAAAAGCAGTTGAAAGATTGGCGAAAGAAAGACATCAAGGCATGAGATTAATTGGATGTGGGGATTGGAGTCGCTGGCGGTGAAGCTTAGCTAGCACTGATTACGATGGCGTCTGTGACTGCTGGCGTTGAAGAATGACGACGGAAGCAGCTTGAATTTGCGGGCAGGCTTAAGCACGACACGTGTTGTTTCAGGGCTTGACACAATAACACGTGTATGTACATGTTTTCTGTTCTCGTATGTGTTTTGCCTTTGAGCTTAAATGAAATGATTCTGTTGTCGACAAAAAAAGGACGCCGTCAACAGTGTTAACTCTAGATTCTGTTGTCGACAATGCACCATCAAAAACGACTATGTTTTAATATAAAAAATTAGATTCTATCTTGTGCATTTGCACGAGAATTTTTTTTTTAATCTAATTTGTATTTTAATATATATAATATATTTGTAATAAATGATATAATTTATTTTTATGTTTAGATATAATTTATTTATTTTTAAATTTTTTTTTCTAATAAATTTGATCACGATTATAAAACATAATTTTAACTCATTTATTCGATTAATCGGAAAAAACCATGGATAGAAAAATATAATTTTATCATATCTATTCATATTACCATATAATATATATATATTTAATTTAAAATATTTAAAATTTTAAAATAATTTTTTATAAAATATATAATAATATAACGTTTATTATTATCATTATAAAAATATTATTTACATTTGGATATTTAAAAAGAAAATAAATTAATATCTTATTTAATACGTTATAAAAATAATAACAGCTAATTTTTTTAATTTTAATAATTAATCCTAACTATATCTAAGAAAATCTAAACTAATTAAATTAAAATTTAAAATTTTCGAAATTAATTTTAAATATTAAATTCAAATATATTATTTTATAAATTGGAAACAAATAAAAAAAATTAAAATTTTTGTTTGATAACAGCAATAGTAGATATCTAGTAGTAAAATATAGTAAAAAAATATAAAAAAATCCGTTAAAACACAAAACATGCTTCTGTTTTAATAGAGAAATATTATTATAACGCGTGTTGGTATGTAATTTTTATGTTTAAAATCATGTTTCTCTCGTAATGTCCTTGTTATAAATGAGAACAAAACCCAAAATAAATAGAGATTTATTGCACAACATTAGATAACAGATTGTTCACTAATATTTTAGAGAGATTTAAGGTCAATGGTTTTTAACAAAAAAGTTTGCAAAAGAGAAATATAAACAGACTCCCCATATGACAAAAACCAGTTTCTTAACTTCATCCTCATTCAACCTTATTCGAGAATACTAATTTTAATAGCTAGGTGAGAAATTTGTAAAAATTTGTAAAAATGAGATGTATACAAAACTGATTACAAAATTTGTAAAATCGATATTGATAAGTATAAATTTGAAAAACTTTCCCTTCTATCATATCATGTGAAGAAGTTCTGCTTGAAGGAATACTCCATTGAGCAGCATGTGAAGAAGTTTTGCTTGCGGAAATGATCCATTGGACGGCACATCGAGAATAAGATCCTGATAAGAAATATCATTATCTTCATAGCTAAAAAGATTTATACTTAATAATGGCACAAATAATCCATTAGACGGCACATCAACAAGAAGATTCTGATCAGAAATATCATCATCTTCTATTTCATCTACTATGTATTGGGTTTTTTCTCTGACTTTTTCTTCTGATTTTTTTTATTAGATATTTTAGTAGCTATTATCCAAATAGACCAATAATTTTTTTTAAAAATTATTCTTCTCATCAAAATTTATTTCAATTCTAAAGTTAGTTAATTCATTCCCTAAAAATCAAATATTATACGATAACATAAAAAGTATCAAGAGTTTTGATTACTCATTTCTCTCATAATATATTTATTGTTTTGAAATAAAATGTTTTCTGCCAACATTATTAATAAGACACCAAAAATGCTTTATGTTCATCAGCAACAACAAAATTTATTGTTTATATGAAATTTTTTTATACAAACTCAATCCTTACATTCATCTACATATGATTGTACAGTTTTTCTCGTATATGGTTGTATCATCGACAAATGAAATTCATATTGCTTAATAATTTAATAAATACTAATTTCAATAACAAACCTCCTAACTTCACAAAAACCAGCCTCATAACTTCATCTAACCAGAATTCGTATCCATGGCATTCCTAAAAAGAACAAGGCAAGAGCATAATTGGTTACAAAAACTAGGCAATAACAGATTTGATTATAAATAAAAACAGTAAATTGATTATGCATGTGCCCATGAATTTCCGATGAATTTGGACGTCTTTACTCTTTGTGAAACATTCTCTGTGGTCTAGAAGATTCACTTTATCACAAAAAATTCCACATCATATGATGGTCATGGCTGGCTTTGAATATGATAATCTCAAATCAGCTTATATCCAATCTCTTAGTTGCTTCATCTAAGAATTTGAACAAAACACAGTTCATATTTTGATTTGTTTGCTTTTTGCTTGAGTAAGATCTTTTATTCTAGATATTGCCTTAGAGTCTGTACTTGACGTAAAAATTGAGGTGTACAATAAACAATAAAAATCATCAACATAACTAACTTTTGCAACAACAAGATGCCAATGGGTTGTCAGAATAGTCCTCATGTGTTTGTTTTCACGATTTTTTTTTGTGAACATAAATTCGAAAAATGCAAGAAAAATATGATTTAGATTTGATGGTTTTTATGAAAAAGACTCTAAAACATTTAAATCCTTATTTTTTGTTTTCTTATAGGTTCTCAATAGCGAACATTATATTTTTGGGATTGTCGAACTTTTTTACCAAATGAAAATATCGATTATGAGGCAATTTTTTCAATTTCGCTTATGGGGTTAACATTTAAAAGGATACCATAATGCATTAAAAAATATTGGAACTATGCTAGAAGATGTAACATTGAATACATTTAGGATATCATTTTATAGTAATGATAGTTCAGCATTTACAAACAAAGTTGCAACATATTAAAATTTAACAAAAGTGAACAATCGTTGCACCAAAAAATTGGACTCACCATACTTCATAAACTTAATGACCATATGTTTTAGACTATATTAGCAAACTAGTCATTAAACAATCCATAATATACCATACATCATTCTTTTACATAATATCAACCACTTGATAGAGAATACGAGAAATAGCTGTATTAAAACTAGACTAATGTGGGAAGGCAAGTCCGGAGGAATTGATATTCAAGTAATTTGGATCAATTTAGTGCATGTTTGAGTATAATTTGTAGATGTAATTAACCATGATGTTAGAAATGTGATGCGGGTCTAGTTTAACACTCGTAATTTGTTTTGTGTTGCAAAATGTGAAGGTGAAGCCTTGTTCAACGGCAATGTTCTGGAAATATTTCTAATGAGTCCCCTTGACGGAA